GCGTGTCTGCCTATCTGTGTCTGTTGCTCGTTATTTTGTGTCGCATTGTCTGTCTCTACTGCGACAGGAAGTGAATGTCCAAAGGGAGAAAAATGGGTTTGCTTTACATTTGCTTTCGGGGGTGGAGTCTGGGATTTGGTAAAAAAAAAACAGTAATGAGGATGCTGTCCTAGATATAGCCAAATATATAAAAAAGTAGCCCAGGTACTGGTCCAGGAATGGGAATTGATGCTAAAGGCCAGCTGGTGGAACAATTTATTGGGAATGTGCAACAGTTGCCTCCTTTTTTCCTTGCCTGCTTCCCTGTTTTATTCAGCTAATCACTAGCGTAGTCCAACATATGCAAGTAATAGCAATGCCTATGGACCCGAAATTGGCTACATCTGGAACAGCACAAAAATTAATGGTGTTAAAAAAAATGAATAAAACAAAGGACCCTCTTAAATAAACCAAATTGATTTATGAAAAACCAACATATCACCAAAGTTAAAAAAAAAAAAAAGTATTATTGCTCAAGCCGAATGATTTAGGAAAGTGTCGCTGTTGGCCAGACAGCAACACGAAATAACAGACACACATATACACACAAAACTAATAGCTACTTCATTAAGGCACAAGCCCCTTTTATCCACTTAGCAACTAGTGTATACATTTGTGGCAAACATACATTGGTTAATGAGGCTGTCATTTTCTACTCATCAGTATATGATCGGTGGGTTATTGTTTCTGTCTTTGAACACCTGTGTTATTGGTTCACATTCCATTCTCCCTTTCCCAGAGGCAGCTAAGGTCGTGGTGTTTACAGAGAGCATACTTTTACATGTAGGCTATTAAACCTCCCTTTAGTTTCCCAGGACTCAGTCATGCACGATAATTAGCTGAGTCTCAGATTCAGGACTTATGGGGCCGTAATGTGCACCCTCGGCCTCCACAGGAAAGAGTAGGGATTGTGATCAACACACAGTGTTGGCTTTCGCAGATATTAAGGGTAGATGCTGTGTAATGTGCATTATAATGGTGATTTTGCAGAAATGGTTTTGTAGACATAGTTAATGTATTTGATGAACTACATATTGGCATTTAGTAAGGCTTAGAGTTATTTTAATACTAATGTTGGTTAAGAGTTGTTGCAATAATGGCTGTGTTGTGGATATTGAAACCTGGTGGGTGTGTTAAGCAGTAACAGATGACCAAGATGAGAATAACTGCACCGGACCACAAAACTGACTGTGCAGCAGCCCCTAGAATTTGCAAACTAGTGTGAAAAAATGTTTGAATATGTAGAATTGCTTATGAATATATATTTGACTAACACAACAGAAACAGCATCTAAGGAAGTTACTATTGTTAGCAATTATGCCATAGCTACAGATCCATTGCTGTGACATTCACTTTAATGACTTTGTCCCCTATTGTCCCTTATTAAATTTCTAAAAATAAAACAGAGGAGTAGGCTTTGTTTCTGTGAGTTCCCCAAACTCAGAACTGCCCCAAATGTGTCCCATAAATGTCTCCCTGAACCCTGAAATATCCCCCTTGACCCAGTCTGAGAAAAAGATGACAAAGGACTAAAAATAGGACCAATTAGCGTAAAGAGGGAGCAATCAATAACCAACCGAGGTTAATTAATTAACAGAGGCAATTGTGTTACTTAGAATAAATGAACAATAATTTCTTTGGTTCCTAAAAATGTATCAAATTTTAATACAAATATTAAAAGTCATAAAAATATAAAACAGTGAAGCCCAAAAATAGCATCTTGTAGCTTTGACCTAAGTTATATAAGCTATATATAAGTTATCAATAGTAATATTATAAATAGGGAAAATAATGGATATAATTAATTAATTAAATATTAATAATGAATAACAAACTACATAAATATTTTCTGATATTTTGAGGATGTCAGTCCCAGGTGGGTGATGTCAGACATGCGGAGGCTAGTGCTGAGGAGCAGGTTGTCCAGACAAGGTCAGCCTGCAAGGGGCTCATTCTTCTTTGTACCCAGACCTCCTAAGGAGGCATTCACCATCAAGATCACTTGGGGAATGCCTCAGTCACCTGTGAACTGAACTGAAAGATTAAAAAATGCTTGATAAAAAAATACTCATGAGGCACACATTAAATCTCTCTCCTTAACAGAACTTCAAAGTGATTCCAATCACTGCACAAGCCCTGGAGACTTGAAGACAATGGAAGGAAGAGCAAGAGCTCCTGAGGGCTTTATGTATTTTAATGAGCCCCATAGTGGATTTGGGGCTAGTCTGGGACCCTCAGGGACTGAGAGTAGGTTGAAGAAGCTGCTCAAGGAGTCAGAAGCAAAAACTCCAAGTCCCTTGGAGCATCACTGGTCCCTCGTCCCAAGGCAGGGACTGCCAAAGGCTCCCCAGGGACTCGTGAGAGCAGATCCTTGGGGCCAGGACTGCAGGGAGCCAAAGCAGGAAATGGGAATGCTGAGCAAGCCCTGGGCTGGTTGGAGGGACCAGAAAAGCCAAGCCCTGAGCCCAGCCCTGGGACATCAGGGCCTGTCCTTCACAGAGGGCTCGGGGCTGTTTATGGGGCAGTGACACGTGAGGGGCAGGAAGAACAAATGTCATAAAACTGTGACACTGCAAATGTTCATGGAACCAAGGCGACATTGTGACACTTGTGGAACCAAGAAGCCATTCTGATACTGCAGGGCCCATGAAGAGCAATGTGACACTCTGGGGCTTCATGGAACTGAGGAGACCATCGTGACTCTGCAGGGTCCCATGGATCCAAGGGTCCATTGTGATACTGTGGAACCAAGGCAACCATAGTGACACTGGAGAGCCCCATGGAACCAAGGGAACCCTGGCTGGCTTGGCCTTCCAGGGACTGCCTGAGAGGTCCAGCTGGTCTTGGCATGTGTAGGGTTGCCTCTCAGCTGCCCCAGAACCACTGGGGCTCTGCTTTCCTTCCTATGGAAAAGAACCACCATTCCTGTCCAGGCATCCATGGTGGAAATTAAGATTTTACCTCCAAATTTCTGTATATCCAAAGATTGTTCTGAAAGGGAAATATTTAGTATTTATTACAATATTTAGCTAAGAAACTTAATGATCTTAAATTTTATAAGAACCTGTATTAAAATTAATTGAGAAATTTGTGTTTCTGTGACTTTGCTCTTTTTGTTTTTATAAACTCGTTGCTTTATCTGCTCTTAGTTCTAGTTAATGGATTCATTTGCTAATAAAATAAAGTAAATGTTATGGAAAAACTAAGGAGTAACTTGATGCTCCAGAAGTTCTAATAAATGAAACCCCCCTGCAGAACTTAATAGAAAATGGTTAGCTAAGAAATCAAAATTAATATACGATTGTTAAAGTACCAAAGCTTTAAGTTATCCCTTACCTAGAGATGGATTAGATGTTTTAGTAATTGAAACAATAATATGAAAAGTTGGGACTGACAATGAGGAGGGGAGAGGCTATGGGAAGCCTTCTTGTTGCAATGTAAACCTTGGAAAGTCTGTTTCATTGGATATTGTTGGTGAATAAATAACTGCTTGTCCCCAATACTGACCAGTGTTGCTATTAAGGGATGCAAATTCAACAACTCCTAAGTTGCTGAATCTTAAGCTTTTTGGCTTAGCCCTTTGTTTCAGTGAAAACATTTCAGCATACATCCCTTCATCTCATTTTAGTCTTGAGACAAGAACAACATCAGTTATAACAGAATGTTATAGTCCAAGGTAGCATTTTGTGGCCACTTTTTCTCCCAACTCTAACTTTTTCACAGGGCACCACTGATTACAACATTTAATTAAGTTCTTCCTGGTAGTTCCACAACTTCCTCCAATGTTTCAATATACATCCAAGTGGTGATTTTTCCAAAATACACTCTCTTTGAGTCCCTTTAGATAGACTAAACCTATAATGACAGAATATATGATTTAATTTCCAAATGACAACCAGTTTCCAAAATACCAAACAAACAGGTTCCAAAACACAGAGCACTTCCAAGTTCCAGGGCACTCCTGTTACCTGGACATTCTCCAACTCCCAATACGTGGGCACTGCCAGGACACTTGACATCCCCAGCATCTCCAGGAACCCCCCATCTGAGCACCCCCAGGACCTGGTCTCCCCTCAGCACCCACCCCCAGCACCCTCAGTCCCTCTGCCCCATTTCCCTTCCCCTATTCCCCCCCAGCTGTCAATCAAATCCCCCCTGAAACCCAGGGGACCCCCCCAACCAATTCCCACAGCTCCCACCTAGAGTGGGAGCTAGACTGGGACAACTGGGAGGCATGATGGGGTGCCCAGTGCTTCCAGTGTCCCGTCCAGTCTCCCAATCTCCCTCACTGGCTTGCCACTCCCACCAATGCACCCCAGTCTTCCCAGTGTTCCCAGTGAAGTTCCAGTGCTCCTAGTCAGTCTGTCTGACTGCTCAGGGAGTCAAGTGCTGGCTCTACTCCAGCAATCCCAGTACCATTCCAGTGCTCCAAGTATCACCTCCTGGCTCACTCCAGTGCCCCCAGTCTCTCCCTACAGCTTCCAGTATTATCACTGTGCTCACAGTATGATTCCCCAGCTCATCCCTATGCTCCCAGTTCCCTCCAGATCACCCCAGTATTGTTCTCTGTCTCCCCTGAAATGCTCCTAGTCCACTCTAAGTGTTCTCAGTGTCTTCCCCCAGTGCACTCCCTGGCTTTCCCCAGTGCACCCACTTGCTTCCCAGTGCCATTCCCAGTGCCATTCCCAGTGCCATTCCCAGTGCCATTCCCAGTGCCATTCCTGGTGCCCTTGGAAGCCCTCAGGACCAGGCAGGGGCTGCCGGCCCTGCCTCCCTCCCCCCACCCGTGGAAACCCCTGAGGTTCTGCATTCCTCCAGCAGCAGCCAATTCCTGCCTGAAACATTTTTGCTTTCAGTTTTGCAGTGGTTTCCGAGAATCTCATGTGAAAACAAGAAATGGTGGGTGGGGTGGAAAGAGAGTTGGGGAAGTGGGGCCTGTGTGGGTGGGGAGTCAGGCAGGGACATAACCGGTGTGAGCCCCCAGTGCTCTCATCCCCTCTGCGGACCCGCTTTTTCCCAGCGAGGTAAGTGCCTGCCCCTCGCTCCCACCCTTCCCCCCTTTGCTACTTCTGCTGCCAAAAGTAATGTCTCTGAGCACAAGAGCTCCCTAAATATTTGATTTGGAGCTCCAAAGCTGCTTAAATGAGTGAACCCAAAATCTGCTTGAATTGGTCTCTTGGAGCCCAAAAGCTCTTTCAATTGCTAGGTTTGAGCCAAAAATATCTCCACATCCCTCTCTCTGACCCAAAGCTCCCCACACTAGATTTTCTGAGCCCCAAGGTACCAAAATTTGGGTTTCTTAAACCTGAGATTCCATAAATTGGTGTTTTGGAGCATCAGAGCCCCCTAAACTAGTGTATCTGAACCCAAATGCACCCTGAATTGCTGTTTCAGGTCCCAGAAGCTCCTTAAATGCATTTCTGGACTCCCTAAATGGGGCTTTCTGAGGCCAAAAGCTCCCTAAAGGAGTGAGTTTGAGCCAAATGCTCCCAAAATGACTGTTTCTCAACTCCAAAGTTCCCTAAAGTGCTGCTTCTGAGCCAAAAACCTCCCTAAATAAGTATTTGGGACCCCAAAAGCTCCCCAAATGGATGTTTCTGAGCCACAAAGCTCCCAAGCTTCCAGTATCTGAGCCCAAAAACTCCCAAAGGGGGTTTCTGAGCCTTAAAGAACAAAAAATTGCTGGGTTGGAGCCAAGAAGCTCCCCACATTTTTTTTTTTCTTGAACCTAAAAGATCCTTAACTGGCTATTTCTGAACCTAGAAGCTCCCTAAATCACTTTTTCTTGGACCGAGAGCTCTCCAAATGGGTGTTTTAGAGCTCTAAAGCTCCCTGAATTGGTCTTTCTGAGTTCAGATGCTCCCAAACCCCCAATATGCTGAGACTCCCAAGGCTCCATAAATTGCTGGTTCTGTCTGTTCTAAAAGCTCGTTATAGCCAGATTTCTTCGGCCCAAAGCTCCCTAAAATTTGGATATTGAAAAACTCTTTAATTTGCTATTTTTGAGCACAAATCCTCATAAAATGAATGTTTCTAGCCCCAAGGCTCCCTAAATTGGTGCTTAGGACCCAAAAAATATCCTTTACTGGTGTTTCTGAGACTCTGAACTCCCTAAACGGTTTTTTTTCTGAACCCAGAGGCTCCTGAAATTGCTGTCCTGGAGCTTTAAGGCCTCCCAAATCACTGTTTCTCAGCCCCAGAGCTGCTGAATACAGATTTCTAATCCATGGAATTCCCAAAGTCAATGTTCCAGAGCCCAGAGCCCCCTAAGTCGAGCCATGTGCCCCATTAGCCATGGTGCTTTGAGGCTAAGAATACCTCCAATGGCCCCTCTCAGGTCCCAACACCGGTGATGGAGGCATCCCCCAGTGATGCAGGTGGAGCAGAGGAGCTTCCCCTGCAGTCCCCCCCCGTCCAGGGGGGTGAGAGTGGCCCCTCGGTGTGGGATGGAGCTGATGGCACCTCCAGGATGGATCCGATGGCATCCAGTTACCAGAATTCGGGATGTGTGGAAATGCGTTCAACACCAGAGCCGGTGGCAGGGGACCCCACGTCCGACTGTGATGACAACTGCTGGGAGGAGCTCAGCAGCGAGCCAGGTACCAGGGATGGATCCTGATGGAATTAGGGCAGGGAAATAGTAAGAGATAGACTGGCCCCTCACTCACATCATGCCTGACATGTTGCCTTCCCAGAGTCATGCACAGAAGACAGAGATGACTGCTGTGGGCAGGACCCAGCCTCTGACTCTCTCAGTGGACACACGGTGGGTGCTGGGAACATCTCACCAGCTTGAAATCAGGGTTTTGGGGGCTGAGTGGCTTGTCCTTATCAGCCACATGGTTACTTGATGATTCTGATGGAGCCTCTGTGTCTGGGCTAGATTCATTAACATCGTTAGTGCCAGTGATGCTTCTGCAAGAGGAAAGGAAAGCAAAAGCAAAAGCAAAGCCTGTTTGAAATAAAAAACTGGGGTAATTAATCCAGGCTCAGGAGCTCTGGGCCCTGATGGGGACGATGTGGTGGGATCTCCGGGGCTCAGTGCTGCTGCAGTGGTGGCATGTTGGCAGGGGCCAGTCTGGAAGGAGCCACGCCTCATCCATGGCGTGCTGTGTGCTGGCTCTGAAATTCCTTCCAATGCTGCAGTAACTCCATTCAGCTTCCCAGGCTTCTAAAGTTCCACCACGAGAAGAGCTCCAGCTCCAGCAGATCCCAGCACATGCTACCAGAGAAAAGGAGAATTCCCAGAACAAGGGCATCCAGCTGAAGGGAGTGTCGGGAGCACCAGAGCAGCTTGGGAAGCCAGTGATTCCTCTGGGTGGACTCTGAATGGTGCCAGTGCTCCCAGGATCACTCTCTGGCTACCCCCTGTGGGAGCGCTTCCTGTTCCTGCTCACTGGCTACCCGCAGTGCTCCCAGTTCCCAATATCACAAACTGACACTCCACTTTCTGATCTCAAAGCTCCTGGAGCACCAGAATGGAGTTTCCCATGCCAGGATGGTAGCAGTGGCCTGGATTTTCGAGCTCAGCTCTAGGAGGGTGGGGGCAGGAAAAGACCCTGCCCTTACCTTGGTCTTCCCTGTCCTTTGAGCTCTCAGTTTTTGAGCTTCATGGTCTTCCTTCAGCTCTTCCCATTTTTCTCTTCTTCAGGCAATGGGTGGTGTGGAGACAGTGGTGGTGATGGACATGGGGAGCATCAGCTGTGCAGGTAAGGGTGTGTTCTCAATCACATCACCTTCTCCAACCAGAGACCAGGTGCTGAATAATGTTTGCCTTGTTGCCACCATCCTTGGAGGTATTAATTGGTGCTTTTACCTGCTGCAGATGACCAGGAGATCAGAGAAGACCCAGGATCTTCCAGCAGGTTTGTTGCATGTAGGGAGGGCATCTTGGAAGGGTTTGAGGGCTGGAGGTCCAGCAGTTCCCCAGGGGAAGGGGCTATGGAGGAAGGTGCAGCATTGGCATTCTTATGTTCCTTCTCTCCCAAAATTCTGTCCCTTCTTGGCATGCAGAGACTTCCTTCCTCATCCTTTTCCCACACCCCAATGGGGGGCACCCACTCCAAGGCATCTGAGTCCTTCTGATAAACCTTGGAGTAACCAAGTGGCAAGTGCCAGCATGGGAGCTGGACAGCCTCTGGGCAAGTTGGACAGGAACCAGCTGAAGTGCTTGTGAGTAGAGCAGCAGGTGAAGAAAGGGAAGGGGGACATGGGGCAGAGGATGATGTAGGGATCCAGCACCTTTTCTCTACCAGCTGCCATCCCAACCCATACCTGTTTCCTGGCCATGATCATGAGGGTTCACAAGACACGATGACCTTGGAGTTCATCGCCGTCCTGCCGGAAGGTTGTAGTAACATCAACCAGAGATTCAAGATCTGTGTTGTCTTCTACAAACATCCTGGCCAATACCAAGAGTTTGCCACGATGCAAAGAAAGTAAGTTATGAGGGGGTGTTTCCACAGCAGTTCTCCTTTGGGGTGCTGAACTCTGGACTGAGGGACATGGCTGGAGGTGAACCCCCAAATGGAGACATCCTGATGGAGCCTTAGTACTTGGTGGTGGCTCCTCCCATCTCCCCATCCCTCGTGGAGCTGCCAAGATGGCTGTGGCCAGGATATTCCAGCCCCATGTGCGGCTCTGGGCTGGGCTAGTGGATTTCATAGGTCTCCCAGCTTAAGAACTTGGCTGTGGATTTCTCCCCAGCGCTTCTAAGGTCAATGATGAATCAAAACTTGACTTTTGGCTTGGGACTGACCTTGATGGCTTACAAGCTTCCTCCCTTCCTCTTTCAGAGAAGAAGTGTACACAGGCAGTGCCAGGATCCCTCTTTCCGAACTGCAGGGAAGACACATCTTTTATAAATATGCCATCGTCAACTTGGACAGCAGAGAGTGCGAATTGGAGGATATTTCCTCGTACAATTACAACATTTCAGACACCTCCAAGTGCAAAAAAGCTGAATTTTACCGTGTCCTGACTATCCCCGAAAGAGAGCTCAAAGCGGACAGTGAGTGCTCTATTTTCCCCATAGACCTGTCTGGTGTGGTGGCAATGCCATGGGCTGGCCTGTGTGGTGGCAGTGATGCCGTGGGATGGCCAATGTGGTGGTGTTGATGTCATGGACTGCCTGTCATTGACCCTGGTTGATTGTGGGAGGTTTCCAGCCACAGGTTTACAAGCTGCTTATGCAAATGAGCTTTTCTTTCCCCCTCATAATACAACTAACGGCTGAAAATCGAGTCACTGCACTCAAATTCTGCCTGGAATATGTGCAGCACCCCTAGGGAGCTGGGTAAATGGAGAGATTCTGTGCTTCCTGGACTCAGCTTGGGCTTGGTATCTATGTTTTGTTCCCAAACTCTTTCCTCAGAAACGTGGACCTTCTTTGAACGCATCAAATGCAGTTTCCGCCAGCACAGGTACTGGAGTAGGGTGTCCTGTTGCAAGGCCCAGATTAAATACCTGGAGCGCACCTTCTTGACTCACCCTACCTCCTGGAATTCCCTGGAGGACATGGAGAGGAAACTGGACAGGTTCAAGGAGAGCATCGCCCATATTTGGGATGCTGAGAGCAAAGCAAAGAAGTCTGCGGTCCCCAGTGATTTCAACATAAAAGAGGTAAACACCCACCAAAACCTCAGGGGCTGGCAAAGCGACGTGCCTCATTTTGAGATATAGGTTCGTCACTGGAGGGGGTCAGATGAGAGCCTTCTGCTGGCCAGTGGATTTAGGGCATGGAACCATCCCAAATGAACACGTGGCACCTGGAAAGAATAATTTCTTCCTAGGGAGGTGCTGCACAAGACACTACTGTGCAGCTGCATTCTTCTGCCTCCTCTCCTCCCTGGACCAGGCTGTTCTTGGAGAAGAACCAGCCTGGTGGAACACCCTCTCCTTATTGTGCTGTCCAGGTGATGAAGTACATCAAAGCCTTCATAGAAAAGATCATCGAGCATGTGAAGACCAAGGACCATAACCTCCTCAAGCTCCTGTTTGCCTTCCATGCCACTGTTCGGTACCAGGTCACCCTTGCCTTGGCTGACAAGGCAGAAGAGTGTTTCAAGTTCATCAAGTTCTTTGAGAAGAATTATGAAGAACTGAGAGGAAAAAGGTGATTCAGATTATCAGCAAAGGTCAGGGGCTTGGCTCCATTGTCCCCACATGTTATGTTGGTGCCATGTGGTCTCCCAAGGGGATCAAACATGGGTTGGGTCTGGCAAGTCCATCTTGTGGCACTTTGAAGAGCATTTGGTATCTTTGATAGTGGTTGACCTGTGAGGATGGCTCTTTCCAGGCAGAATAAATCTTCTTGTGCACTGTGGACAAAGATACTATCCCACTTTGGGGCATGTCTCCCACTGGTGTCCCAAAGGTTAGTTCTGGAAAGTCTGACTTTTTTGGGTTTATTTTTTTGGCAGCAAATATTTCCCATCTCTGAAGAAGCTGTGCTGCATGAACACTGATGGGACCTTGTGGATCTGGTTGGTCCCACTGCTCTATGCGATCAGTGAGAATGTGGAGGACCACTTTTCCCCACAGGAACTTCCTCACAAAGCCTTTGTCCAGTTAAGGAATGAAAAAGAAAAGCAAAGGTGTGTCTGAGGGGCTGGGTTGGGGGTCAGGATGATAAACTGTCCTGTTCTTCAAAGAGCTTTTTGTTCTTTCTGCTTGGTGGCTTCTCCAGGAGCTGCTCCCTCTGTGTCCCCTGCCCCAGAGCAGGGTTGAAGGGGCATTGATGGACCTCAGGAAGAGGAGAGAGCTGGTGGGAGTAGTCCTGGGAAGAGAATGGATTGGGAGGAACCTTCAAAGATTATCTCGTTCCAACCCCCTGCCATGGGCAGGGACACTTTACAAAGAGGTTGCTCCAAACCCCATCCAATCTGGCCTTGACCACCACTAACAATGGGGAAGGTGTCCCTGTCCAAGTCAGGGATAATGCCTGAAGGCCCATCCCAGTCCAAACCCAGCCCAACCCATTCCACTATCTTCCACTAGATCAGGTTCCTCAAAGCCTCATCCAATCTGACCTTGAACACTTCCAGTGATGGGACACCCACACCAGGGCAGTCTGTTCCAGTGCCCCACCACCCTCATTGTAGAATATTTCTTCCTTAAATCCAGTCTAAATCCACCCTCTTTCAGTTTAAAGCTGTTGCCCAGGCCCAGGTGCAGGACCTTGGCCTTGTTGAACTTCATGAGGTTGGTAAAAACTCACTCCTTGAGTGTGTGACAGCCAACTCAAACCCTAAGTTTTGTCCTATTGACCTGACAGTGGGTGAATTTCCCCAAATCCCTCCTTTTCCTCACTCTCAAACCCCAGATTCTTCCTCCAGCCCACAGCCTCCTCAGCTGAAGGTGGCCATGGTGTTCACCAGTCAGAATGATATCTCAAACACCTCTGACATGCCTCCTGCTCTTCTAAAGTCCATCTGATGTTCCTGACTGGCTTTTCTAGGAAAGTCCTGGAAATGATTGATGCTCACAAGACCTTGATCAGACGATGTGCTCCACTGGCAAAGAAGGTTTTGGAGATGGTGGCTGTACAGAACTTTTGCAAGGACCCTTTGCATAACATTCAGTTTCCAGTCCAGGTCCTCTTGGATACCTTGCGAATGCGCATCATGGATGCCGATGGAGCCTCAATCCACAACTCTGTAAGGACAATGCATGGGAGACGTTCTTGTGCTCTTCAGGGAATGGAGGGGGGTGATCTGTTGAAATGTGTATTAAAATGTGTCCTTGGTTCCTGCAGCAGGGCAAAAGGATTTAACTGTAGAAACCTGGGGTAAGAGCTGGATGCTGGGACCATGGAAACCCCTTGAATCCTGCAGAAAACTTCCTACTTTAGTGTTTAGGAATGGAAATTACTTAGCTGCAGGAGCAGAACTCTTTTCATCTTTGTCCTCAATGTCCTTCCATCCTCTTTTCAGGAAGACCACTTGAACATGGCCTTGGAAAGCATCGCCATCAGGATGGAGTCCCGGTTCACAGACTTGTGAGTCAGGCTTCTCAGGAGAAGTGCTGTGAGCCCTCTGTGATGGGTTTGGGCAAGGGTGAATGGAGCCCTGCCTGAGCAGGAAGAGGGTGACCAGCATGATTCACCCATTGCTTTTTGGATGTCTTTAACTCTACTGTGGCTGGAGAGCATGGAGACCCCCAAGGGGAGTGTCCTGTGAACTTGCCTGCATCTCCCAGCTACCAAGGGTGGCTTTGATGAGGTGGTGACTGTGGAGGCAACTGCAAGAAGTTTTTGTGCCCACAGGTGCCCTTCAGGGTCTTCAGAGAAACCACTGGAGCCCACGGTTGAGACTGAGGTCCTGCAGTGTCTGAACCTGGTGTACATCCTGCTGCAGCTTTTCTTAAAGCAGATAGAGTCACGCCTCCCTGTGGAGACATTGCTGCGGATACTCGGGATGTTTGTTGACAAAGAGGACTTACTGCAAGCAAACAAGGTGGCTTCTGTCCCGAGGGCTTTGCCTTCTGCATGCAGCTGAGGAGAGTCCAGAGCTCCTGGCTCACTCTCCCATTCTTTACTTCCCCAAGGAATTCCAGCAGTTTACTTCAGCAGAAGAGTTCCAAATTTTTTCACATAATATCACACCATGGCTCAAGACACACTTTGACCGGGAAAACAACACAGGAAAATCCTTCCTGAAGAACATTGAGGTGAGTGATTAGTCCCAGAGACCAATGGTAGACCCAACCCTTGACAGATCTGGGTGTTCCTCGGGGTCAGCTGAACATCTGGCTCTTCCTCCATAGGACTGGCAGCGGCTGATCTCAATGAGGATCCTCTGCACGGGATGGACTGAGAGGTGGCGGGGCTGGATCCACAGACTGTTTGAGGAGTGGATGAAGAAGGTCAGTTCTGGAGACCCTCTTGGTGGGGGATGGTGCTCTGGGGCTTTTCTGCCCTTGGTTTTGCCTCAGTCACCATTTTGGAGGTGGGACTTGAGCAGGTTGGTGAGACACAGGGGCAGCTGTCTCCTAAGTGATTCTGTGCTGTAGGTTAATGACAAAGACCTTGTGGGTTTCTACCGCGCGTTCCTCAGTACGGAGATGCACTGCGAGACAGAGCTGGAACAGTGCTTCACAAAACACATCATCCACTGGATCAGCAGCACAAACAAAATCAAGGTAGGACAGCAGCTACTCTGCCTGGGGCAGCCAGAGGCCTCTACATCCCACTTCACCACCTCTTGTATGAACCCTGCTGGGTTAGAAGACCAGGGAAAGGTCTTTCTGAAACATTAGAAAATCTACACAGCCTCTAAAGAGGAGAAATATCTCATCCTTCAAGGATTTCAAGCAGAAATCCATGATAACCCTGATCTGCAAGAGGAACAAACAATCTGGTGAAGAGGTGCTTTCTGTTCTTGTGGAGAAGATGTGTTTGGAGATGAAGAGGCTGGAAAGGATCGACACATTTGAAGAGAGCACTGGCCCCATTCTTCTAAATCTGCTCAAAGCTTCTGACTTCATTTCTGCTGTCCGTGAGTGTCCCCAGAGTCATTTTTTTTGGGATAAACTCTTGAGTCTGTGGGAACTAGATGGGAAGACCAAGTCTTTCCATAGGGACCTTCCAATTTTGTTGGTCACCCAGCCTTTTCTGGGCCCCAGTCCCTCTTGGAAGCCCTCCACATCTGCTGGACCTGGCTGTCCAACCTTGGTAAAATATCCTGGGTGGTCCCCATGGTCTCCTAGACCTCGTCATGGTTTCCTAGGTGGTCCACAAGTTTTGTTTCAGGCAGGAGGTGATACTTAGGTGTCCCAAAGGAAATTTAGCAGCCCTGCATCTGTCCTCAACACTGTTGGGGTGACAGGTCCCTGTGAACTGGAACCTGATGGCTCTTCCTGAGGATGTGGCTTCAAAAGCCACAGTGGAGACACTACTGATTGCCTTTCACCACACTTCATTTAATTTACAGAAGAATCAGTGAGTACGTTTCAAGTTCAGCTCAGCGACTGTGCAAAAAATCTCCTCACCCAAGTGTACAAGCTTTTCAACTTCGTGGGACATTGCATTCTCTCAGGAGACATTCCGTGCAGGATCCTCTCTGATATCCTATGGCAGGAGGAGAAGCTGTTTAAGCTGATGCTGTGCACCTGCAGTGAGTCCAGAGCTTCCACCTTAGTTGTGTTTTTGCAGTTATGTGGTCAAGAGGAGACAGATCTGCTGGAGGATTATCTAAAATGCAAAGAAAACAAAAAAGTGTCTATTATGGGAGATGACTGGTAAAATTTGGAGGGTGAGGGGTGGTTTGGGGAATTTTTTTTCAAAGGATTGCAATGGTGAAGTTTCCTTGAAGTTTCCACTTAGCCCCCAGCTCTGTCCTCAACTCCATCTCCAGTGAATTAAAACGTAGAGAAAAGAGTGCAAGTCCTCAAAATTTTGCTCCAAAAAAAACCTTTATCACTATTGTTTTTTATGAGGCAAGTCCTCCAAATTGTTTTCTGTTTTCTGCAATTCTCCTTTTCCCAAAGAATTCTTCGTGTCCTTGTCTGTTCCTTCCCAGATTCCTCTTTCGCTGAGTGTATTACAGATGTGCTGGAGGTCAGGAAGAGGGAGTTTAAGCACCTGGAAGAGCAAAAGGAGCAAAGACACTCTTTTCTTGTCCTGTGCCGTGCAATAGAGGACATGATTAAAGGTACTGGGTGGGTTCATGAAGTTGGGTTGAATGTGGAAATTTCTCCTAAAAATAGTTTCACTGTGGGTGATGAGGGAGCTTGTTAACTTCAAGACTTTGTGGAGACACACATAACATGAACTTCCTCTTGTCCCCACATGGTTTAGTGGACACAAGTATCATGGAGAGTAGCAACGGGGACAAGGGAAGATTTAAGGATCAGATATCAGTGAAAAAGTTCTCCCTTGATGGCACAAGCAAAACAGAACCACACATCCTTGACAATTATTGTGACATGTGGCAGAAGCTTTCCATCGTGCAGAAGAGCCAATGTTTCCTGAGGCTGTGGAAGATGAGAGCAGAGCAAATCAAAGCTACAATTCCTGAAGATCAAGTTTTCTCTGTAGATGATGTTCAAGAAAAAATTTATAAGCCAGCGATAGCTGACTTCAAGAAAACCTACCTGTCCCTCAAAGACTTTTCCATCACACTCGGAGCTGTGCAGAGCTATTTTGAGAACCTGCTGGGAGAGAAGCATGGGCTCCAGGAAGAGTTTGAAATCATTGAGAAAAGTGAGGGAGTGGGTCATGGCAGAGGTCAGTGGATTGCTGGTGCTGTGGAGAGGATCAAGAACTACCTGACCCTCTCCAAAGTGGTGAACAGGGCCAAGGTGATCGATGCGCTAAGACAGATGCTTCCACTGGAGGGGGACTTCCAGGTGCTCAGCGACCTGACCAAATACGTACGTAGGGGATGTGTGGGCATCTGGTTGCTCTTGGGAAAACCCACAGAGATAGGTTCATGTGATAGCTTGTAATTGAATCCTATCAGGTGGGATTCCTTCCTCCTTAATTGAACTTGAGGGATAGGCTGAAAGAATTTCTGCCAGCTGTCACTTCCGATCCATCATGGAGGAAGGATGAACTCAAGAGTAGATCTAGGTTATAGGGATGAACTCAAGAGTAGATCTAGGTTATAGGGATGAACTCAAGAGTAGATCTAGGTTATAAGGATGAACTCAAGAGTAGATTTAGGTTTGAGGTCAAGATCTCATCCTGTCTGGGGAGGAGGAGGCAGAACCAAGCTGCTTTCCTCTTCTTCCCTACAGACATGTGTTGTTTATTGTTTCTTTTTTCATCCAGGAAGAGCAGGAATTCAAGAATAAGCAACTTGATTTTATAACCCAAGACTTAATGAAAGTGAAAAAAATTTTGAGTGACATACCCCAGGGAGTCTTGGACTTTTTAATGGAACTTCTGGAATGTGCCAAGAAAGGTTTTACATCCTGGATCAAGACCATAATAAAAGGTGGGCTGTAAGAAAAGAAATCAGATATAACAACAGATGGAGACTACAAAGCCCTTGTTTGTCCCTGCAGCCAACGCAGCCTTACATAAATCAGAGAAATTCCCCTCTTCTTTTTTCTTTATTTTTTCCCCTTCAGACAAGACAGAAATCCCCATATTTGTGGAGCTGGCATCGATTTCTGCAGGTGAAAATGACATGGATATCGACAGAGTGAGGTTCTTCCGTGATGCCATGGCTGCTTCTGCCCCCATTGTCCTGGATCTGAGCCCTGATGCTGGGTTTGACCAGTTCTCTGCAGCTCTGTCCTTTGTTGGAGAAGCTGTTGCCAAGGACAATAAGCTTCCCAAGAAGCTGGTGAGTTCTATATCCAAAAGTCACCAGGACACTGGACGTAAAGCCAAGTCACATGTGGGTGATGCCATATAAGGTGGTTTCTCCCACGACATCTATGTGGTCCCGGCAGGACCTGGGTAATGGCTGTGCTCATTTTGGAGTGAAAGCCTGTCAGGAAACCTCAAATGACCTTGCAGCTGTGTGTGGGCAGAGGGAGAAATCAGGAAGAACATGTGAATAAGAGAGAGCAAGTTTGTAGTAATATGGAATAGTTGAGGTTGGGAGGGACCTCTGGAAACCATCTGGCCTAAATCCCAAGCTTAAAGTGGGGTCAGGTAGGTCACTCAGGGTCATTTCTAGTTGGATTTCGAACATCTCCAAGGCTTGAAGACTCCAGAATCTCCTTTGGAATTTGATAGAAAAGCTTCTGTTAAACCAAATCACTCAAGTTTGTGCCCCAGGTGACCACTGACCCTTATGCTTTCCTCTCCACCAGAGCCAGAACAAGAGCTTCATCACATGCCGCCGCTCTAGGGTTTTGGATAGGTCCAGCTCTGGGGCTGCATGTCCTCAGAAACCAGGGGAAGCCCTGTCCTCAGAAAGAATGGTCACAGAAACGGTCACATCAAATTCGGGGTAGGGAGTGCTGCTCATTTTCCTTCCAGTTGGTTACTGGGTTTCTCTGGGGTTCTTTCACAGAAAGATTCCTGTGACAACAGGGAGTGGATACAGATGGTTCATGACTCCCATGGCTCCGTGGAGCGTTCTTCGGTCTCACAAGCCAGAAGCATCAACCAAAATGGGATTTTTACCATCTCAGCACCTCCAAAGTTCAAGGTAGAAGGCTTCCAAGGTGGTTTGATAACCTTTGTGGGTTCCTTCCAGCTCAGAATATTCTGATTCCATGAAATCCTCTTCTAATGAGAATGTTGGGTTGCCACTAGATTGGCAGTTTTGCAACCAGTGCCATCAACTGTCCGCTAAACCTGGAGTATTTTCAGCAGAAAATGGGCTTTTTTTTTTCTCCAAAGAAAATAGTACAAGACTTGTAGAGTTCTGATGTGCAGCATTTCCACTGCTGCTTAAAAGGCCACATGTTGATGGTGGTTGTTTTCTCTCCTCTCCAGGCTACGCTTGAGGACTGCATCTCATTGCGGCTGCTGGAGGACAGCAAGGAGAGCGTATCTCCAGGAGACCAGGAGGTCAAGAAATACAGTTTGTCTCAGCTGAGGGAGCTGCAGAACAAGCTGATGTTGATTGCCACCAAGGCTGAGCAGGGCAGGGAGGAGGCAAACCATTTCTTGGAGGTAAGTCACAGCACATCATCCACATCTGCCAGGGAAACAATGGCCATTGTGATTTTGCTGGAATTATTTCTGGGAGACTCACCCATGACCTGAAGTTCTGACCTTGCAGGAGCAGAGGTGTTGCTCTAGGATGATGGCCCTTCCCAAGCTACAGGAGTTAGATTTTCTTCCCTGAGCTTTGTTCCTCACCTGTGGTGCTCAACAGCTCTTCCAAGACCTTACAGACTTCAATTCGGAGGGACCACTAGGATGGTTTGGGTTGGAAGAGACCTTAAAGGCTATCTCATTCCAGCTCCCTGCCCATGGGCAAAACCACCTTCCACTAGACCAGGTTGCTCCAAGCCCTGTCAAAATCGAACACTTCCTGGGATGGGGCAGCCACAGCTTCTCTGGACAACCTGTGCCTCAGCACCCTATCATACAGTTTCTTCCTTAGATCTGATTTAAATCCACCCTCTGTCAGTCCCTTGTTCTATTGTGGCACATATTGGTAAACAGTCTCTCTCCATCTTTCCAATGAGCCCTTTGGATTTACTGAGCAGCCAAAAGAACATCTCCCCAAGCCCCGCAACTGACCAACCCTGAATCTCTCAGCCTTTCATTACAGCAGAGGCATGCAAGCCCTCTGAGCATTCTGTTCCTCCTCTGGACCCACCTTAACAGGTTGTCAAGACCTGCTAACACAAGCGGGAGTTGTGATGGTTCGTTAACTGAATCTCAGAGTGCAAAAGAAAGAGGGACAAGTATTTTTCAAAATCAAAAGCACTTTAATTGAGTGCTAACAACATGATTTATGTGATAGAAGAGGAAGAGAGGGAGAAAAAGAGAGAGAGAGAGAGAGTTGGGTTATAGCTACCAACATCAGAGACTAAATCCTCGTGGTCCGTATCCAATAGCTTCGTCGTCGTCCGTGAGGAGACCTCGTAGGGGTCTTTTCAGAAAGTCTCTTTATAGTCTTTTTGAAAGCAGGGGCAGCTGGCCAAGAGGTGCAAAAGACAGGGGAAGCTGGCCAAGAGGTGGGGAAGTGACAAAACACCTGTTTTGTCAGGTGTACAGTACAAAGCATGTAGTCCTCTCTGCCATGGCAGGAAGGGCGATGCAGTCCACCGGGTCCTCACCTGTTTTCTCAGCAGCCTGGACACCGACACTTGGCAGACATCCCACCTCAATCTGGCCTGGACTTCTTTGAGAAAAAATCCCCCATCCCCCCTTGGGGTTTTTGGGTGTTCAGTCTGTGTTGTGTTTGATGATCGTGAAGCAGATGAGGGACTTCCGTACCATCTCTTACCCAGGTCCATGTTGTTCTTAAGATCATTGAATTGTTTAGGTTGGAAAAGCCCTCTGAGACCATCAAGTCCAAACGTTCCCCCAGTATTGCCAACACCCTCCTAAGCCATGTCCCCAAGTGCCACATCCATGCATCTCTTAAATCTCTCCAGGGATAATGACCCCACCACTGCTCTGGACAGCTATGCCAGGGCTGGAAAATCCTTTCCATGATGCAGGGTCCAGGCTGGAGTAGAGCTCCATGAACTGATACACACCATAGTTCCTCAAGCGGTCTTTGTGTTCTTCACATCTCTTGCCAAACTGAGTTCTAGTTATGCCTCAGCTTCCCTGATCCCATCCCTACACATTCAGGCAGTTTCCCTCTGTTCTTCCCAGGATACGTGTCCCTGCTTCCACCCAATCTGTGTGTTTCATTCTCACAGCCCAGTTTGGCCAGGAGGTCCTCACTCAGGTGTGCTGGCCTTCCCTGCCTAATTTTGTACCCAGAGCTGAAGACTTCATGAACAGTCTTCTCTCCCTCAGGCACCCAGCACCAAGTTTCAGTTTTCCTTTCTTGCCTTGGCCACTCAGTTTTACCCAAAAGCTCCCAGCTGGTGGAGGAACACACCCTAATTCCCTTGAGGCATTTCACAGGTGCGTATCTGTTGCATCCTAAACCACCAGAAGCCCCTGGCTTGTCTCTGTTGCTCAAAATTCCCCTTCCGTAAGTCCAGTCTAAAGCTCTTCACAGGGGCCTGGGTACCCTGTTGGTGAAGTCCCAGTTAGTCAAATGAATCCCATCCGCTCCCAGTAGACCTGGTTTTCCAAAGGCAAACCAGGCTTCTCAAGCTTGGCTCCTCAACAATGGATCCAACTTCTCAAGGATGGATCCAGTTTCTCAAAGGCAGATCTGTCTTCTCAGGGGGAAGTCCAGCTTCCCAAAGGTAGATCCATGATCGTAGAAGGCCATACATTGAGTACACCAGCCACGTAGCCAGATTTCCAGTCCCTTCATCATTGTCCTTCCCCAGTATGTTCATATCTCTCTTGTGCTGGGGAGCTCACAACAGTATGAATCTCTGGAAGGAAGCATGGCCTGGGCAGTGTTTGGAAGCTCTGGAGATAATGCTGTGGCATGTGGTGCATTTCTCTGGTGTGTCTGGTGTGTTACAGATACTGGAAAGAGTTGAAATGATTGCAAAGTTATACCTGGAGCTTCTTGGTGTTGGCAACATCCTCTTCTTTGACTGGAAGGCTGATATCTACTGCAGCCCCCAGCAGCGAGTGAAAGTCTACACGGAGTTTGGAATCACTGGGATCCTTGTTCAGAGCACAAGACCCCTCCTGGAGGAGCTGGATGGCCTCTATAAAGCCATGGAGCTTTGCATGTCAGAGTGGAAAAAGTACTTGGAGACTCAGAGAGACACCTACTATCACCTCAACCTGTTCACAGCGCGCCAGCTCTTCTACTTGTGCAGCCAGCTGGCCAGAGCCCAGAAAGGCATCATGGAACCACAGGTGCTCATCATGCTGTCTGTCATCAAGCATGATGTAACAGAAGGAGATATCAAAACTGCCCTGGAAGAGGCACTGATGACTCCTCTAGACTCTGTGAACATGTCATCAGGAGGTGAGGAATTGGTGACCTGGGAAGACTACGTCATTCATTTCCCCCAGCTCATCAAGAGCTTGGCTGAATCAGGCTATGATGAATCAGTTGCAAAAGCAGCCTTGCAGAGCTGCCTGTCTGGCTTACCCATCACAGAGCAGATGCTCATGGATTTTGCTTTTGAGAAGGGGGATGACATGGAACTGGTTGAAAAGCTCAGCACATTGTATGAGGAGACAAGGGACAGCTTCCTGCAGGAGAGACGGAAATTTAAAACTAGTAGCCAAGATGCTGACCAGGTTTCCTTCAGCACCCTGGCGCATGATGAGCTGACTGCCTCCTTTGAAAATCTGCCATCTATTTATGACAAGGTGAAGCTGCTCTGGAATGCTTACTGTAAGAAATTTGCTGGCCTGGTGTCTGATAAATACATCAGCCTGGATGTTTTTGGGGTAACACTGGAGCATTTGGCTGCATCGGAGAGCATGCATATCAAGAGGAGTTTACCCCTAGGCTTTGAAGAGGGGAAACCACTCCTTGTCATGTGTAAGGAGGAAGAAATATTAACCCACATGTTATTTGTCTACCAGCATGCTGAGACAGCACCTCTCCCATCATATGATGAGGTCCTGGTATGCTCACCAGACACGGGAGAGGAGGAGGTAGAGCTGCTGGTCAGGAGAGCTCTTTCCCCAGGTTCCCAAGACCAGAAAATCTACTGCTTGCTGGGTGCTGATAAATTGGTTTATAAAGTTTCAAAGCAACTCGAGTTCCACTTCTTTCGCCTGGTGCAATCTTCTGGCATCCCCAACTACAGATTCCTCATCTTCTGCAATGCCAAAGCCGACAATTCCTATGTCATCACGGCCTTTGATGCCTACAGGGTGACTTTCCCAGACTACTCTGAGACAAAAATCCAGACCTACCTGAAGACACAGCTCCAGGTGCCAAGTGGGACAGCCCCCATTGCCCAGGCCTTTGAGGAGCCCCATCAGCAGAATGTCAAGTTTGTCTTTTCAGAGCGAGCGGGAATGGGTAAGTCTTTGGGAAGTCATACTCCGAGTTGTACCTCAAAACGAGGCAATGTGTCACAGTGTGCTTTGGGGGAGAGATTTCCTTAGTTTGGGTTGTATGTAGGTGTTGAAGGCTAAATTGATTCCTGATCATCTCTTCCGCTTCTTAGGAAAGTCTCTCTTTGTGGACAATACCATTAGAAAGGTCCATGCCCAGCTGGGTGGCACACTGCCACTCCACAAAACCATTAGGCTGATGGAGTCAGACATTGATTTCCAGTTCTTTGTGGTGGAACTATTTTCTATCAATGAATCCATGACTGAAGATCAGCCCAGCATCTTCCACATTGATGTGGCTCCTGTGGTGAGTTCCTGGATCTGAAAGGGATGATATGAATTGAGGAATCATGGAATGGTTTGGGTTGGGAGGCAGTTTAAATCCCATCCAGTCCCACCCTTGGCCATGGGTAGGGACACATTCCTCTAGACCAAATTGCTCCAAACCCTCTCCAACCTGGCCTTGAACACTTTCAGGCTTGGGGTAGCCACAGAGTCCCTGGGCAACCTGCTCCAGGGTCTCCACAGAAGGCCCTCCGAACAGAGAGGGAAAGGAAGAGGTGGGAACTCAAATCCTGCCCCATCCCACCAGTAAGCATCTGCATCCATTTTAATTTTGGGGACTGTTTTGCCCTCCCAGGTATCAAAGGGTCTCTACCAGCTGCTGATCAATCTGTGCATCCTGCGGCACATCCAGAGTCCCGATGGCTTGGTCTGGAAGTGCAAGCCCTCTCATCTTTACTTGATTGAGTACCTTGCCAAAAGGAAGAGCCTCAGCAGCACAAGGAAACAAGAGGTATTTGGGAAGGTGGCTGTTGAGGCTTAACATGAGGAAATCTGCTCAGCTTGGATGTTCCCATCAGAGCGATGCCCAGTTTGGGGTCTGCCTCACCAGTGGGGCAATGTCTCACAAGCATAGAAGAACCAAGTCACAGATGTCTCAGAGTGAAATATCGCCTCACACTGAGTTTTGATGTTTTTTTTCCTCTCCAATATGCAGTAACTTTAGCTTCAGGAATGTTTTAAACCAAATTTGCACCTGAGACATGCTTTATAGTCACAGAAGGTGTGAAATTCACCCCAGAGTCACTACTGGTTGGTCATCCATCTGTGATTCCTCACAGTACCTTGAATATTGGCTGACTTCAGCCACATCTGTCTCCAAAAGGATTTAGTGGAACAGGATAAAGTGCAGGAGAAGGTAACAAGATAATACCATCAGGGAATGGGCTAGGTTGGAAGGGACCTTAAAGCTCATCATATTCCCATCCCCTTCCATGGGCAAGAGCACCTTCCACTAGACCAGGTTGCTCCAAGCACCATCCAAACTGGCCTTGAATCTTACCCAGGGATGGGGAAGGTGTCCCTGTCTGTGTCATGGGTGATCCTTGAAGGTCCCTTCCAACTGAAACTGAACCCAACCCAGTTTGTGATCTTCCACTAGATTGAGTTAATACAAGCCTTGTTGAGCCTGCCCTTGAACACTTCTCAAGATCACCCAACCCAAGACAGACCTTCATGGTTTTTGAGATTCCAATCCACACAGAGGCTTGGGAAAATCTTGGCATTTCTTTTCCAAGCTGTTGAAGTATTTGTGGCAAGGGGAAATTCAAAAAAGGGCCTTTTTGGTGATGTAGACAAACATGGGAAGTTGGAGAATGTGCCTCATAGTGACTTGCTTCCTCTTGCTTTTAGATGTCCATCAAAATAGAAGAAAAATTCCTGGATCTGTTTCCTACCGTGGAGTGTATATCACCGCTGCGGGTGCTCAGATTCCTGGAAAATCCCAGTTCCATCCCTCCCACAGAATCGAGGGAGGAACAGTTTGACCGGGACAAGCTAAATAGCGAAGTTTTCCAGAGGTCTTACCAATATCTCAGCAGATACAAACAGAAGGAAAACCTTGACCAGTTCACTTTTTGCCCTAAAAAGAACAAAGTGACAGAGAGAGAATGTCTGGCATGCCTGATGGAGTTTTGTGGGAGAGGAGACCCATCCTGGACCGAGCTCAGCAATTTCACACACTTCCTGAACTTCCAGCTAAGGAACTGTGAGAAATCAGTCTTCTGCAGCTCAGTGGTTGGGTGGGAGTTCCATGGCTTCAAAACATTTGTCATCAAGTTCATGATTGCCATGTCCAAGGACTTTGCCATGCCTTCCCTCCACATGTCTGATGAGAGTGTGCCAAAGGAGAGGCAAGAAGAGATGGACAATATTTTGATGGAGTACCAACTGAGACGCAAATGGGAACAAGAGTCCCACCCTTACATAGTCTTCCATGCTGACGGTGATTCCATGGAGTTTTTAGGTTTCCATATCAACCAGAACTTTGATGCAATTGATGCTTATTCCCAGACTGTTTTGGAATCGGCAGTGATGAGCAGCAGTTTGTATGAGACTTTGGCACGCCAAAATGTTCCTTTCAATAAGAAGTTTGAATCTTTACCCCGCACAGAGCAGTTGGAGGCCCTTTGCCGGGTCTTTGGAGTGAAATACCAGGGAGATCCAGATCCTTCCTACCAGCTCACTCTGGACAACACCATGAAGATGTTGGCTGTTCATCTGCGGTTCCAGTGTGGCATCCCTGTGATCATCATGGGGGAAACAGGTTGCGGGAAGACGAAGCTGGTGGAGTTCATGTGCAACCTGCAAAAGGTGGGCAGGAAGATTCAGAACATGATGGTGGTGCGTGTTCATGGCGGCACCACCTCCAAGACCATCCAGGAAAAGGTAAGGCAGGCCATAGAGCTGGCACATGCCAATGAGAAAGAACATCATATTGACACAGTGATCTTCTTTGATGAAGCTAACACCTCAGAGGCCATCTTTGCTATCAAGGAAGTGCTTTGTGACCACAGTGTCAATGGGAAGAGGATTCCCACCAACCGCTTGAAAGTAGTGGCTGCGTGCAACCCGTACAAAAGACACACTGAGGACACTATTAAGAAGTTGGAGAAAGCTGGCTTGGGATACCGAGTCCGGAGCGAAGACACTCCGGAGAAGCTGGGTTACATTCCTCTGCGGCAGTTAGTGTATCGGGTGCATCCCCTTCCTCCCAGTTTATTGCCTCTAGTCTGGGATTTTGGGGAGCTGAATGAGAAAACACAAATCTTGTACATCAGGGAGATTGTCAAGTCCACTGTGGACACCAAGATCCCCATGGGAAATCTGGACATCTTCACCAGTGTAATTTCAGCCTCCCAGAAATTCCTGACAGAAAGGAAAGATGAATGCAGGGTTGCCAGCCTTCGGGATATAGACCGCTGCATGAGGATAGTGCTCTGGTTTTATGACCTAAGGGACTTGCTTTTCCACAAGATAGATGAGAAGAGAAGACATGAGGAGGAAGAGAGAACAATCTTAAATGATGCACAGAGAGCTTTGGTCCTTGCAGTCGGGGTCTGCTATTATGTGTCTCTGGAGAGCCGCCAAAAGTACCTGGAGGAGGTTGCAGAATGCTTCTTAGTCCCTGCAGCCCGGCTGCAGCAAGAGATTGAGTTGTGCCAAGAGGTGTTTCTTGATAACCTCTCCATTCCCAAGGCAACAGCCTGCAACAATGCTCTGAGAGAGAACATTTTCATGATGATTGTCTGCATGGACCTCCGGGTGCCCCTCTTTCTGGTCGGGAAGCCAGGAAGCTCCAAGTCTCTATCCAAAACCATTGCTGTAGAGGCCATGACAGGTCCCTTGTCCAAAAACCCCTTGTTCAAAAGATGCAAAGAAGTCCAGCTGGTCTCCTTCCAGTGCAGTCCCCATTCCAAGCCAGAAGGTATCATCTCCACTTTCCGACAATGTGCTCAGTTTCAGAAGGGCAAGAACCTGCAGGAATTTGCATCAGTGGTCCTGCTGGATGAGATCGGTCTGGCAGAAGACTCGCCTGATATGCCATTGAAGACGCTGCATCCTCTCCTGGAAGATGGATGTGTTGATGACGAGAATGCAGAGGCTTACAAGAAAGTTGGCTTTGTGGGCATCTCCAACTGGGCTTTGGACCCTGCCAAGATGAATAGGGGCCTTCTTGTCTTCCGCACTGAGCTCAGTGGTGAAGAGCTGGTGAAGACTGCCAAAGACATCTGCGCTGCCCAACCTCACCTGCAGAGAATTGAGCATCTGTTCCCCATCCTGGCCAACTTCTACTGCCACGTGCTGAAAACACAGAAAAAGGAGTTCTTTGGGCTTCGTGACTTCTACAGTTTAATCAAAATAATGGCATCCTACATGCAGGATGCAGAGCACCGATCTCAGGAGGAACTCCTTGTGAAGGCTATTCAGAGAAACTTCGGAGGTTACAGAGATATCTGCCCTCTGGAAATCTTCAACCAGTGCACCAAGGAGATCCATCTTACCTCTGGGATGGAAACCAGCTGCATCCGTCTGCTGAAGGAAAATATGGAGAAACAACACATGGGCTTCATGTCTCGTTATTTGTTGCTGCTGACAACCAACAATGCTGCCTTCCAGATCATTCAGATGATGAACCTTATAGACACCAGCAACTGTGACATTATCTTTGGTTCTGGTTTCCCACAGGACCAGGACTATTCCCAGGTGTGTCGCTCTGTGAACAGAGTGAAAATTTGTATGGAGATAGGCAGGCCAGTCATCCTCCTCAATATACAGAACCTTTATGAGAGCCTCTACGATGCTCTCAATCAATGCTTTGTCAGCCTGGGGGGTAATTACTATGTTGACCTGGGCCTTGGCACTCACAGGGTGAAGAGCCGTGTGAAGGAGGAATTCCGGCTGATTGTTATAGAGGAGAAGGATGTGGTCTACAAAGAGTTCCCCACCCCACTGCTGAGCCGTCTGGAGAAGCATTGCTTGGACATGAACACCATTCTCAGCTGGCAACAGCGGGACCTGAGGCAAGACCTGGAGACGTGGGTCAGGCATTACGTCCACATCAAGAATCCTGATTTGTTCACAGTCTGGTCCCATACATGTGCTCCCATGGAACATGATGTCTTCATTGGCTTCAGTGATGACACATCTGCTGCCATTGTGCTGAAGAACACCAAGGACCCCCACTCCAGCGACTCCAAGTCCTACACAGACCTGGTCCTCTCTACTGCCACAAGCCAGCTGGTGGAGTGTGCCACTCCGGACTCCATCCTGCGCCTGAAGTACTCCACTCTGAAGGATGCTGAGCAGATCCAGGACCTGTATTTCACAGAGCAAAAGCATGACAGCCTGGCCAGCCTGCTGTGGGAAATGATGGACCAGCAGGAGACAGGGAGCACCCCCAGGCTGTGCCTACAGGTACTCAGGCTTGGTCAAACACCCAAGGGTGCTGCTTGTTTCCCAAGGGAGCATGGTGGCCCTGTGACCTTGGTTAGGCCAGGACAAGGATGGGCTGATGTCCACTCTCATTGTCTCCCCAGTCACCTGCAGCCAGGGCAGCCTCTGCCCATCCTTGGGAGGCAGATGGGATCTGCTCAGTTTCTGCTCAGGCTGGGATACTCAAGGCACCTTCCAGCTGCCTGGACATGGGCAGGGAGCACCAAAGGAGATGAACCAGAGGATCCCACCCAGGATTGTGAGGCAGCAGGAACCCCAGTTTTGATTTCCGTTTTTTTCCACAGGTTTCTACCCATGGCAGGCTGCTGAATCAGAAGGATTTGGAAATGTTGAGAAAGATGCTTCATCTCCCAGATCCAATCCACTGCCTCTTCCTAAGCCAGTTTGACACTGAACATGCTTTTCGCCAGGACCTTAGGTGGGATCTTAGAGTTCTTCTCATGGGGATTTTCACTTCTTGTGGGGCATTGGAGTGAGGTGAGGTGAGAACTTTCAAGAAGGCATCACAGAGGCCATTTCCTTACAGGAATTTCTTCAAAGAGCCACAGGAAGTGAGATTACTCCTTGTCCAGTTTCACTTTGATGAGCCACAGAGCAGCAAACGACTCCTGGCCTGTGCCAAGTAAGCAGCCTTCTTTGTCTTCTCTTTTTTTTGTCCTTTGTTGCTTTTCCTCATTCAGGAAGAGTTTCTTGCTATCTGGTATGATCTTCTTCTCATCTAAACCCATCCTCTGGCAGTGGGAAGCCATCTCCCATGTCCTGTCACTCCAGGCCCTTGTCCCCAGTCCCTCTCCAGCTCGCCTGGAGTCCCTTTAGGACCTGGAAGGGGCTCTGAGCTCTCCCTGGAGCCTTCTCCTCTCCAGGCTGAACACGCCCTGCTCTCTCAACCTGGCTCCAGAGCAGAGGGGGCTCCAGCCTCGGAGCATGATGCAGTTGTTGCTTGGAGAGATCAGTCTCACAAGTCTGGAATTATCCAGGTCTGAACTTCTGATGTTGCTTCCAGGTACTGCATCAGAGATGAGTGCAGGAGGTCAGCCAGCCCCCATCTGCTGCATGTTGTGTTGATTACCAAAGTCCCGCGGGTACGGGGAGGGTGCAGCTACCAGGCTTTTGACAGTGGTAAGTTCACGCTCACTGCTTTGGGTTGGGAAAACAGCAGAAGGGGAAAATAAAGCCTTACAGACAGGGCACAGGAAGTAGAGGATCTTCCATCTATGCCTATCTTCCTGCCCTGGTTGTCTGATGAATCCAAGCAGGCAAGCTCACCAGCTGATGTGCCAACAGAGAAGATGGACTGATCCATTCTCTTACCTCTCCAGGCGAGTGGAAGTCCATCCACTTGGATGACCTGATGCCCCCTGAGAACTTCAAGGCCAGTCTTGGTCAGCTCTCCAAAATGAGTATTGCTGAGATATTCACCAGCAGCAACCAGCAGCATCTTCCAACAGGTAAGAAGTCTCTCACCCTTTTGCCCTCTCCCCACTGCTGTCCCCACTGATGTCTCTGACATCATAGCTATGGATAAGAATGCACCCGGATCAAGCAGGTCCCAAGCTGTGTGCCCTGGAAGCACTTGCTGCTTCTGATGTCTTCCTAGGAAAGCAACTTTTGCTTCCTGATGGGCCATCTGGTCCGGTGGAGCAGAAAATAATAGTGGCAAATGAGCTGTGCCACTGGAGACTTCCATATGGAGTCACTGGAGACTTGTATGTAGTCAACATGTGCTTGTGACCTCCATTCCTCAACTAAATCATCGGGCAAATGGACAGAAATCGTTTGATCAATCATTGGAAGTCAACCCTGAGTGTTTCCTTGAATCTGTGTTCTTGCTTAGAGGTGACTGGTTAATTGCTCACCCACCCTGAGGGTCTCCAGCCATCAGATGGAAGGCTTCCACCGCAGTGCAATCCAAACCCCTCCTGGGCCAGAAGGGTCTTCTGTTGGGATTGTGACAGCTGACTCAAGGTTGGTTGTGATTTCAGGTTCTCCAGAGGATCCTGCTGCCCTGGGAAGCCTCACTAGGCCGGGTCATTATCCAGAGGAAAAAGTAGGATTTTTTCTATTTTTCTCCTCATTTTTAGTTGCTTGTAGTAGTGCAAGAACTGCGGGGTGTCAGAAGATACTTTGGGGTCTGTCTGGGACCCTTCCTGGGTCACACTGTGGGGTTGAGGTAGAGTGGTTGTCTCCCAGCCCTCTCGTGAGCAACTGGCACAAGACCGGGAGCCATTTGCCTCAAAGGAAAGTCCCTCATGAGGGACCCTGGCAGCCCTCCCTGCCACAGGGACTGATTAAACAGGCTTTGTTGCAATGCTGAGGTGAGTACAGATCTTGGAGCCCACTGTGCTAAGTTCCGGGGAAGATGATACCCTGGGCAAATTAAGGCAGAGGAACATCAAGCAACCAAAAGATCTCCTGTCTTTTCCAGTTACAATTCCTCAATGTGGATGCAATAATCAAAGGGTGCATTCAGAAGGCCGTGATCCAGATGGAGGACAAGAAGGACAACAGCCAGCGTCCAACAAAGAGGATCAAGATCCTCTACAACTTGCTCTTCCACACTCAAAGCACTGGTATGTGTGAGGAGGAAGAGCTAGAAATGGCTTCCTCTTGCACATGGCACAAGCCATGTGTCTGGAAGAAGATCCCAAACAGGCTCAGAGGCAGCTGTGTTCCTCAAAGTTATGTCAGGAGGAGAAGAACCCAGGGGACAAAGGGTGAGGTTTTACAGGGCCTCTTCTACCTTCCTGTCAGTCCCTCATGTGTGGGATCAAAACTGATGCAGACCCACAGCCTCTGGAACACAATTCCAGACAGATGATACTTTCCAATAGGAGATAGTCTCTGCATAGGACTGTTTAAAAAATACGAGCTGGTGGGAACCTCTTGTGGGTTTTGATGGCATCTTCTACTTGGAAATGACCTCTGGGAAGGTTTTAGCCCTGTTTTGTGATTAGTTTCCAGACGGTTTATGACAACGCTGAAGAAGAGAATTTGTTGTCTCCTCCAAGAACGAGAGAAACCAATCAAGGAACCAAGAGAATGGATTTTCCGTCAGGCACTTGCTACGGAATTCATCCTGAAAGACACATCTTTCAGGTAATGCTGGCGGAGGGCACCTCCCCAATGTACCATTATCCTGTTCCTAAAACTGCTCTGTGTGAGTCACTTTAAAGGCCAAGATGTGACAACCAGTAAGTATCTAAATACGTGTTTTTTTCCCCACCTAGAACCAGGGAGGGGCTTGATGGATGGTCATAAACTCAAAAGGAAAAAAAAGGATGAAGAGCATTGGTTTGGGGTGAAGTTTTGCTTAAAAGGCTCTTCTGAAAGCAAATGGCATTGGTTGATTGTGAGATAGGAAAGGCAGTGTATGTCAAGTCTGGATGTCCACACTTTGCATTTTCAGGAGTGTTTGTCTTGTTTTTGTTGACTTGTGTGTCTTCAAGGCCAACATGGTTCCCAGGGAGAGTAGGGTTTCTCAGTGGGAGGGGCAGAAGCAATGTGACAAGCTGTGGCACCTCCTTTTCCAGGCAAGCACTCTGGATGTACCTGGAAGACATTGTGGCCAACATTTTGGCCCAAATTCTCGCTGTGGTTGATGCCAACAACAACCTGGATCACATCTGTGAAGGGTCTCTGCTGACAGAACTGTGGCTCCAGATGTTCCAAGAAGAAGCCTTCCTAAAAATTAAATACACCAGGAAGTAAGAGTCTGGGTGGAAATGGGCAGTGAGGTGGTTTTCCATAGGAGAGGAATGGCTTTGTAGGGAAACAGTAACTAATTTTTGAGGAGAAGTTTATGATCTTGAAAGCCATGAAAGTGTTTGGTGTCAGCCCACTGGCACCAAAACTTTCCTGCTTTTTAAGCTCTCAGCAAAATCAGCTCCTTCCCTGCACTTACCCAGTTTCCCTGACCTTCCTACCAAATTTCTCCCTGAATTTCCCCACCCTTCCCATGTTTCTGAATTCCTTTAAAGAGAAGGAGGATTACTTCTCCGAGATGTCTGTCTCTGGACACCTCTGCTCTGTTGCACAAAATAATTCTCTTTCTGCACTGTTTGAACTCAAGGGCACCGGACATGAAGATTTGTGTCTTATCCATGACTGAAGACCCCAGCATCTCTGTCTTCTGCCAGTTCCCGTTCAGTTGGGTATTGAAGGCCTACCTGGATGACATATGGGAGAAAGCCTATCATACAAAAGGTAACATTTCCCGGGGGATCATGAGCAAAGCAAAACTGCTAAAAATCTGCATACTGCAGAGGAGGAACCATAGGAATGGATTCCAGAGTCAGATGACCCAGAACCACATTGTGCATGTCTTTGGCATTATATCCCAATGGAGGCACGGCCACTGTGGCCTTGCACATAGTCATGCACCCACCTCACTTGTAACGAGGAGCTACTGTTCCCCACTAAGCATCTGCAACTCTCTTTATTGGCCCTTCTAGGTCAGCCTGAGCAGCCAACAGAGGACATGGCCAGGTTCTACCAAAGCTTCATCAAGAATGTGTGGATGCCAGATGGCAGTGGTCCAGCCCTGCTGCATTCCTATGCCAACGACTTTCTCAGGATGGCTTTTCCTGGACAAGACCTGTCTATCTATGAGGTGAGTAGGGTTGGGTAGAGAACCATCCTCAACTGGCTTTGCCTTGTCCTGTCCTTCCAAACCTGGTGGTTTGATGATCTCTCCCTTGTGCTGCTCTGTGGCTAGTCTTCAACTGATATCAGCATTTGATCTTTCCGTTGTGAGAACAATTTTAATAAGGAAACTTCATGTGAGGTAGAATAGCAACACTGAATGTCCCACCTTTGTCCCACCCCACTCCTCACTCTGAGCAGAAATAACACCTTTTATTTTACCCACAGATCCTCTCCAAAGCATTCCTGGCCAGTGCAGAGCGGCTCTGCTCCTCTGTGGGCAGGGGGAAGATGAGCTTTTCCCCAATCTGGCTTCACATGGAATATTTCTACCTCCATGATGATTATCAGCTCTTCATTGACATAGCAAAAAGCAACGACACTGTCGTGAGCGAGCTGCAGACAATGTATCAGCAGGACCCCCCAGCAATGGTGAGCTTGATTTGTCCCTCTGACCCTTCTTCTGCAGCATTTGGATGTGGTGGTCTTCACAGTTTCCTTTGCTTAATTTCTTACGATGCATTCAGTAAGACATCCATGTGTTTGTGTCACTTGGGGTGCGGTGTTAAAGGCCTCTTAAGGCTTTGACCTCAGAGATGGGCAGGGTACGGCTCTACTTCCTTACCTTCCCACATACACATGGAGATGTTCGAATTCTTCCTAAAGCCTTTGGTACTGTTGGGCTCATTAAAGCCCTTTTTGGTTTGCAGATATCAGAAGCTGACCCCTAAAAGTTTGTCTCTTTCTAACTTTACCTCTTGAACTCCTCCACAAGCCATTCCAGCACCCAGTTACTCAGCAGCCCTCTGCTCTGTCCCACCACCCACCAGGCCAGCATGTCACAAAGACTCTTCTGCTCTCTCTTTGCAAATGTTATTTCAGTTTGTCACTCTTGAGGCCTTGAACATTCTCTTGAAGAAAGTGCAGCCCTCTGAAAGCAGGCTTTTGCCCTTCGATGCCTGTGTCACGTGGCTCCAAAGTGTCAAGTCCATCAAGCCATGGGTGGAGTGGATCAGCTTGGACAACTACCAGGTGCAGTTCTACCAGGAGAAGAAGCAGCTTCTGGAGAGCGTGTTGTAAGTTCAGTTCCTCTCTCTTGATGGCAGTAGAGCAAACACCTTCATGCCCAGAGGTTGGGAGACCCGAGTTACTAGTCTGCAAACTGTCAGTACCATCCTTGTTGTCACAAACATGATGGCAAAGTGGCTCAAAAAAAACAGATGGATGTTTCACTGTAATCAAATTATTTAATTCTGGTGGAATTTCACAGAATCAGAGAATCACAGAATGCTTTGAACTGAAAGAGACCTTAAATGGGGTCAATGGGGTGTCATCTGGAGTGGTCATTGGGCAAGGTCCTGGGTTCAATGGGTGTCATCTCAGATGGGTACAGCAACACAGTCAATAGGATATCATTTGGGGTCAATGTGGCAGCTCCTCGGGTCAATGGGTGTCCTATTGGGTCAATGGGGTCAATAGGTCTCTGCTGGACAAAATGGGATCAGCGGGTGTCTCCTGCGGTCAGTAGGGTCAGTGGGGTCAATAGGGTGATATATGGGATAATGGGGTTTCATCTGGGGTCAATGGGGTGTCTCCTGGGGTCGGTGGGGTAAATGTTATTGTTAAGGGGTTTTTTTGCACTGGCACCTTTATTCAGATCAAAGCATTTTTTAAAAACTGACGCTTTCCTTTGCTTTAATTATAAAACCTATAAAAGATCAGAAGTTCAACTGCAAATAGTGAATTAAAAAGGGGAAACTTCTGTAGTTAAAATCAATTTTGCAAGACCAAAATTTTCTTTGTTTCATCAAGTGGTCACGTGCTACCTGGGATGAGTCAGATGTGAGCAGGAAAGGGACCTTGGGAGGTTTGCAGTCCATCCATGGGGGTTGTGTGTTTTACAGGCACCGTTGGACCTGCACCAACATCGTCTACATGTTGATTGACCACCTGCTGCACAATGAGACGGGGATAGAGGAGAAACTCTTGCGACTCGTGGTGAAGCAGTTCATCTTCCTCTGGAATGTGGGTGTTTCCTTGTGGCTATGGAACTTGGAAGAGCTCTTCCCCCCTTCCAGGAGATCTCTGGTCTCAGTTGTAGTGAGGGCTTAGGAATGGGAACAGGCTGGAAATATCATCTGAGAGACAAACAGTGCTGGGATTCAGAATCCCAAATGAGGATTTGGAACCCAGGAGGGCTTCCTGGAGGATGTAAAGGGTTGATCCCAGTTGTTTATCCTCAGAGGTCCATGCAGGGACCATACTGTGTGAACCCCAGATGTCACCCCACTGATCTATAAATGGATTTGCTTAATATTGATGTCTAACCCTGCATCTCTGATGCAGTGACACCTTAGAATGCTGGTCCTCCTTATACCAAAGATGTTCCTGCTGAACTTGCACCATGTGTCCATCCCTTGCAGCGCCTCTACGCAGCCCCGGCATTTCAACCAGAAGAGACTTTTGATTTGGTGACCAAAGTGCTGAAGAAATGCAACCAGAATGCTGATGTTGTGTATCTGGTGTAAGTCTGAACCGGAAAGAAGTTTACATTGGTACAATGTTTATAAAGGGTGGGGGAAATAGATCAGTGCTGGACATGGACCTCTTTGGGCCCAAGGGAGGCCACACTGATGAGGCCAAGAGGTGAGAGGTGATGAAACATTTCTGGAGAACTTCTCTAATGTGTGGTACCAAAGAAACCAGGCTGCCCTGAGCACCCAGGCTCTCTATCCTGTTCACTCAGCCCTCCTCCCACAGATAGGGTGGTTGTCAGACAGCTGAGAGGCTGCTGGTTCTTGAAGCTGTGGTGGGTCACCCCCATTCTCCACCCATCAGATGGGCCAAAGTGCCTATTCAGTTTCACCCCCACCCCAGGGTGAATGCCAGGCCAGAGCCCACCCATGTCCTTCCTCCAACCTGGCAGCAGCACTGAACTGCCTCTGTTTTGGGTGCCTCAGGAAGGGTGTGAAGGAATGCAAGAGCTGCCTGCGGGAGATCACCGACCCGGCGGAGCTGCCCTGCAGCCACATCTTCTGCACTCACTGCATCCTGGAATGGGCAAACAAGCAGTGTAAGATCTGCAAGGAGGAATTCCCAGAGGATTACAAACCCACAGCTTCGGAAGCCACCAGGTAACCCCAGTGCTGCCTGTCTGGTGTCTTCATGTTAAATGTTGAGTGGAAGATGCTGGTGCCTGACTAACCTGCCATCTGCTCTCGCTGGTGTTCTGCAAAGAGAGGTATGTTTCCTTCCTGGGTTGGAGTAGACAACAAGTCTGGGTTTTCTTCTACTCTCCAGGGAAGCTGTTGCCTGCCACAACAAATTCAGGAGGAAATGCAATTCCTTCTTCATCGAGTTCATCACCAAGTACTTTTTGGGAGACAGAGAGGCACCATCAGCCCAAATCATTCAGCAACTGATAAAGTTTGTGGCTTGCAAACCCAACACTGAGCATCAGGCAGGAAAAAGGGGTAAAAGGACTTTATTTCACTTGACTCAGATCTGACTGTACACTCTTGGAAGCCAAATACTGAAGGCATCCTTCCTTCCTTTGTAGTGTACAAGCCAAAAAGCGAGTTGTCCCCCTTTGAGGAATGCATGGACACCAGTCCAACTGCCCAGTCCTCCCTCCTGAAGCTGCTGCTGCGATGCGGGTCAGCCCCAAGTTTACTCACAAGCCCTGTTGTTGAGCCCTTTGGCCACATGGATGCTGATTCTCTGTGTACTTTTCTGCCCCAGGTTCAACAACATCAAGGTTCACTTGGAAGAATACCTGTCCCAGATGGAGGAGAAGATACTTTCCAACCAAAGTCACATGGACCACATCTACTTCATGGTGGTGCACTGTCTGGAGGTGAGTGCCTATTGGGATGCACTGGGAATCCCGACCAGCACCATACTATGGAGTTACCCAACTAAACCTATGAATGCCTTCCCTCCACATCTTTTTTATGGATGAGGAATGGGGAGTTCAACCTAAATCTGAAGAGAATGTACCAGGGAGGAGAAGCAGGTGCCCATTTATAACCACCTTCAGATCCTTAAAAATTGTCTTTTGAACAGGATTTTATGTATCCTTCTTCTGAAGAAGACATCAGGCAGCTTGCTGAGAAGTGCCTCTCCACCGCAGACCTCTCTGCTTTCTGCAAGCCCAGTGTCTCCAGGATTAACACCCTCCAGTTCATAGCCCAGCTCAGGCTCTCCATCAGCCATGTGGCCACTGTGCTCGGCAGACAGGTGCTTTCTGGTGAGTTCTGGTGCTTAGTGTAGCCCAGAGACCCCACCTACCCCCAAACAAGTCTAGAACAAGCCCCAAAAATTCTGAGCTTGGAGATTTTTTTGCGGGACAATTAGTGGTTTTATGAAAATTGTTGTTACTTTGGATTTATTTTCCTGTTTAGTCCACAGACTCACTGTGTTCCCTATGCACTGAGACCCTCTGGGGTCCAAGGCTTCTTCTCTTGTGGCCATGTTGTAACCTGTAGGGAGAAGATCCCACCACAATCTGGCTCCTGTCTCAACTATGGGGGCTGGCTGGGGAAGGACACATGATGTGCCACACCAGGGACTGGGAGTCATGAGAAAACCTCCTTTCCAGCTGCCAATCCCAACACATCCACTGCCGAGGGGAATGAGAAAGAACAAGACCTGGTGAAAGTGATGAAGGAGTTGGTTGCGAAGGCTCCAACTCCGTGGCCTCAGGTGTTCCTCATCAGGAATCTCTGTGACATCTATGGCCTCACCTCTATGTGGAAGATCCTCCAGGTGCAGAGGTGGATTTTACCCCAAGGGGTGGAAATCTCACAGGTGGGTCGGTTCTTGAGTGCCTTGTGCCAAAGCGGAGCTGAGGAGGTGGGATTTGCTGAGTTCCAGGCCTATCAAACTGACTCACAGAAATCCCCTCCAACCCAAGAGGGTAATGGGTCCCCACAGGGTGCAGCCAACCTCCTCTTAGTGCCCTTCCACTTCCTTCAGGATCACAACCTGCACTGTGGTATTTTTCAGGATAGAAGCAGCTGCTTGAACACAACCCTGATGCTTTCATTGCTGGACAAAGCACAAAAACAGCTAAAAAGCAGTGATTTCAAGAAAAAACAGAGCTTGTCTGTGAGTATCCATTGAGTCTCTGATGGAAAGTGTCCGTGGTTTTTGGGCTGGAGCCATTGTTTGCTCTGGATCAGTTGGTCTGGATCCAATGACTGGTCTGAAGCAGTTGATCTGGGTTTGATGGCTGTTCTGGGTCAGTCTGAAACCATTGTTTCATCTGGCACTGGATCCAGTGGTTGATCTGGACCCTCTTGGAAAGAGGGAAGTTCCATGTGTATTGATGCACAGTTGTGCCAGCTCCCTGCTGCCAGGGTATACAAATGGGACTGTACCTGGACATTGACCCTCAGTGGTGAAGCCATAAGACCCCTCACAGGGAGGTGCCAGGCTGGTTGCCTTCATTTATATCTGTTGTGTTCAACTTTTGTAGTCTGTTGTGAGGCAAATGGAGAACACCCTCCGGTTGCCATCCATCCCAGATGAGACACTGGAAGACAAACTGAAAAAGATTGTAGATGCTGTTGATGATGGTGAAGGCCTGAGGGAGCTGGTCTTCCACACTGCGCTCACTCTGACCTTGTTCCCAAGCTGCATCACTCACCTCCTCACAAACATCTGCTTCAAGCCAAAGGTGGTAAAGGTGAGTTTCAAGCCCGAAGATATCAGCTCTCTCTACCCCACCACCCTGGTGCAGTGTGTCCTGCTCAGCCTATTGCACTGCAGGTTGTTGCCCCACTTCTTTCTCATTCCATGGGCTGAGAAGTGGCTGTGACAATCCACCCTGGTCGAATTCCAGTGTGGATGAGATGTAGGGCCTATGGGAGAAGCCCGCTTCTCTATTGACCATGGGGAACTGGGGACATGGCACAGCTTTGCTGGTGGCGATGGGGTGGTTCAGAGCCCAGCACGAGCATCCTCCTGCAGTGCACGAGCACTGCAAAAGGTCTTCTGTCACTCAGATGATGGTGGAGACACCCGTTCCTGAGCTGGGCTTCTCCTCGGGTCTGTCCACACATGGGTTGTTCCCATTATTTGAGAGATGAGGGACGCAGCCAGGGCAATGAAGAAAATGAGTGAAGAAAAAATTCAGCTATTTCTGAATCCTCTCCCCTTCCATTAAGGCCATCTTTGGCCCATGGTGGGTTCAGTTCAAGAATCAATGCTCATAAATAATTGAGATTTTTTGGGACTCATGAATGATCACTCCAGCTTCACATCTCAGTGTCTGATGGACTTTGCTGTCTGACTTGGTCCTTGTTCCCTTATCAGAAACTTCTCACTGATGACAGTGGCCATGCAGGAGCACCCTTCTCCCCACAGATAGTTCCTTGGGCAGGTGGGGAGCAAGCTGGAAAGATGGACACCCCATGCCTCACTGTCTATCATGTTCCCTTTCCAAGGGGTCCTACCTTCCCACCATGCCTGGAGACCTCTTTGATGAGAAAAACTGGAAAATCGGTGAAAGAGATAAGCTTTGGAGTAAGTATTGGGGGAGTCAAGCTTCTCCTATGCATGTGGGGTATTGAGATCAGCAAGGGAATGAAGGAAATGGAATAAAGACCCCTGAAGGTCATCCCTGTCCATCTGTTGAGTCCTTCATAATCTCCACCTGGGTGAAGCACATTGGTTCCATTTTTGAGAGATGTGGTGGGGCTGGATGTCAGGAGGTGGGAGTCAGGCCTGCCACCACTTGGTGAGCTTCTGGCCACCATTGTGGAGATGGCTGTGGGAGATGACAGACTAACCATATCCTCTTTCACTGTAGCTTGTCAGTGTGGCTCGTACTGGATTGTCACCAATGTAAGTGTCACCTTCTGGTTGTTGGTCTTTGTGGTCTGTGTTCTTGTGCTTCTCGTTGCATTGTTGACAACTCCATGGGGAAAAGCCAGGCTTGGGAGGAGCTTTTAGATCTTTCCCTGGTTCCTGGAGGTGTCCATTTCCTGTGCACCATCTTGAAACACATCTTAGCCTCTTGGCCCAGCTGGGTGTTCACTATAAACACTCCTCCTGCTGTCCTGCCTCCCCTCCTAATGTGGGCTCACAGTGTCATCCTCATGTCAAGTGACCCTTTAGCTACAAGAGAAGCTGCAAGGCTCACAAGTCATTTGGGCTCTTCTCCAAGTCATGTTCTTCTCCAAGCCACTTGGTTTTATCTCCCAGCCTGGTTCTTGGCTAAATGGAGGTAGAATTTGTGTCTCTCCCTGGGAGAAGTAGAGCAAAGCGGGTGCTTCCAGGTCTTGGCCAGTCTCATCCACACATCCTCATGTGTCCAGCTGGCTGCAGGAAGTACCTGGTTGGTTGGACATCTCTGCTTGCATCTGTTCCTGCCTCTCGTTAGTCATGGCCACGCGTGACCCACATGCAGAAAGGTGGAGGACATGGGAACCTCCTGGGTACCCTCAGCTTTTGCTGGGTGCCTTCAGCTCCTGTCTGGGCTGCCAATCTTCTCTCTCACTCCATCCTCATGTCTCCAAATGCAGTGTGGGTTTCCCATGGAAAAGAAGCAGTGCCAGTGTGGTACCACTGTTGGGGGAACTTTCCACAAACCTGTGGCAGGCTTCAAGCAGAAGGAAATGTAAGTCAACCCTCACAGCTCTACAACCCCAGAGGGCTTCACCCATCTTCTCCAGAACCACGGGCATGGGGGAAACACCATTGTTGGCCAAAGCAAAGGTGTTTGCATCCTGTGGTAAGTCCCATTGCAAAAGTCATGGTGGGTAATTGCTCATTCTGAAAACAGCACTGAGGACACCACGGAGCAGGGGTACCTCCTGGAGAGCCCCCTCTCACGGAGAAATGACCTGGAGAGGTGCCTGTCACCTGCCTGTGTTGCTCTGGCAAGGGCTCTGCTCCATTCATCCCTCCTGCTGGGGATCCAAGCTGACAAACAGGTGAGCCACCACCACACTGTGAGGAGTGCTGGGAGGAGATGAGTCCAGAGCCTAAAACAGGGGAACTGGGCCTATCTCCCAGGCAGTTCTAGACCTGATGAAAAAGAAACCAGAGGACACGGAAGAGTTTTTCTGGGGTCACCTCTGGAAAGATGTGGCATGCCTGGCAGAAGCGCTTGGCAGGAACACAGAGGAGGCCATGTTGACTGTCCATCTGTTTCTACAGCACCTGAGCAAGCATGGTCCTGCAGGTAGAGAAATGATGGGGAGTTCTGGAGGTCACCAGTAGGTTGGAGGGTGTTGGGTTTGAACCAGGACCACTCTCATTGGTTCTTCCTTCCTGGGACAGTCTCCATCCCAGGAAACCAGTGAGAAGATGGGGAGGACCATGAGGTCAGGGAGCTCATCCACAGCACTTAGGCCAGACCAACTTGAGGGTATGAGGCTGGGAGACAGTTTGCTCCAACCAGGCATCTACATCAGTCCTTCTACTCCCAGTTCCTCTTGTTTCTACATCATTGCATTCCTCACTGTCAAGAAACACAGCAATGCTCTGGGCAGACCCCAGGGTCTGAAGGGATAAAGGTCACATATTCCTTCATGTCTTCTACAGATGAGAGTGGAGCCTTGAACATCCTGCATGAGAAAAAGGACCGAGACAAATGGGAAACTTCCTTCAAAGCCCTGGCTCAGTCCTTCTTCCAGGTAATTTGTGCATGTCTGCTTGGAAGTGTTGTGTCCATGGACAGACACATCAGCTGACCCTGGGAAAGAAAAGATTTTTTTCCTCTCCTTTTTAGAATTGGGATCTTGTCCTGGTGGGGTCAATTGCTCTGGTCCTCAGAGAGCTGAGTTCTGGGTTGTAGCTTCAGATCCTCTTTGGGAAGCAGCTGATTTCTTCCCTTTGAGAAAATCACCTGTGGGCTTGTTGTGGGTTGACCCTATCACTCCCCTTCCCTCTGGGACGGGGGAAAGTAAGATGGCGAACAGCCAGCAGGGTGAGATAAAGTAGTTTTATTTTAGCAAAGATACAAAATATAAGCAAAGGCTTGCGCGCGCAAAAGCTAAAGGCAAAGAAAGAAATYAATCTCTACTTCCCATTAGCAGCGTTGTTCAGGCACTTCCCGGGAAGCAGGGCCTCAGCACGCGTAGTGGTTGCTCCGGAAGGCAAACATTGAAAACTCATGAATGCCCCCCCTTTCCCTCTCTCTCTTCTCGCTTATATATCTGAGCTGACGTCATATGATATGGAATATCCCTTTGCTTGTTTTGGGTCAGCTGGCCTAGTCCTGTCCCCTCCCAGGATCTTACACACACCCATCCCTTTGAGGGGGAAGGAGTGTCAGAGGGACAGCGCTGCTTGGCAATAGCCAAAACACTGCTCTGTTATCAGCTCCCGTCCAGCACTCATGCAAAGCACAGCACTGGAAGGGCTTGAGCTTTACCTCACTCAGACCCAATACAGGGCTTCTCTCTGGAGAATTTTGTTCTTATTCCTCTGTTGACTACTTCTTATCATGCCACTCATCTTCTCCGGAGTCCTTGTTACTTTTCTTTACCTGAAAGACCCCTTAAATCCTCTCAGGCTGCTTGGGTGAATAGAGGTGGCTCCTAATTCTCTTGGGGTTCTGCAGGAATTGGAGAAGAATCTGAATTCTGCTAAGGAGCAGAGGATAAATGAAGGTCCCCATGGCTCCAGTCTCCTCCTGAAAATAGTTTATGACCAGACACCTCCTTTACAAGATTTGCCGAGGGAGGGGTTGATCAACCAACCCTGCATGTGGAGGCTTGAGCAGAAGGTGACCATCCAGACCCTGATGCATCTCCTGCAGAAAGATGGAGAAGGCACTGGAAATCCATACCCCATCCTGCTGGAGCTCCTGTCGAAGGTTGGATGGAATAACACCCTCTCTCCCCCAAAACAAGTACAGTAGATTCAGCCTGGTTGGTGTCTGGGAGCTACTGGAGTAACTTTTTCCCCCTGTGTTTTCTTGAGGCATCCAAGCAAGACAGGCATCCTCCACTTTACCCCATGGTTCCAGGTGGAATCCCCCTCCCTCAAATCACGCTGAACCTTCTCTTCCAGATGGAGAACATCCAACATGTCCGACATCTGCCTGACATTTTCCATCTGCAAAATGCTCTGATCCATTTCTTCCAAAATGGCTATGAAGGAGAAAAATACACAGTCTGCCAGTTCCTCGACCAGCCTGGACTCTCAGGTGCGATGCGGAATTCCACTGTGCCTGGGATGCAGCTATCAGCCAGCCTGCAGCACACTCTGCTGAGAAGTTGCTGCTGTAGTTTGTGTGGTGAAGCCAACCCAAGAGAGACCCATAAGGCTGGTGGTGCCATTGCACAATGAGTTTGGGACAGAATTTAGGAGAGGGAGGAGGTCAAGGCATGAAAATGGATTTGGGAAATATCCTTTCTCCTGGGGCCCTCAGCGAGGCTCTTCTGCCACAAGCAAGGATATTGGGTGAAACAGGCTCTTCAGCTCCTGAGACACCATGCCTGGTTGGCTGATGCCATGTGGTGTGACACAAAGCAAATGTACAGCATGAAGTCGGGTGACTCCTCCAGTGACAGATCTCTTGGGAGACATCCTCTCACCTGACATGTCTCTGGGGAGGATACTGTGACAATGCTCTTCTCTGTCCTCTCTCCTCTCTCCTCTCTTCTCTCTTCTCTCTTCTCTCTTCTCTCTTCTCTCTTCTCTCTTCTCTCTTCTCTCTTCTCTCTTCTCTCTTCTCTCTTCTCTCTTCTCT